AGACGCTACGCTCGGCGGGGTGGGGGGGGGGGGGGGGGGGGTGTAGTATGGGTCCGTCCATAGTGGCTTGGCCAAGTGGCGAGGCCATGGCCTCCTGAGTTCCCTACTCTGCCATGGCCTTTTGAACTGTCTGCTTCACCATGGCCTCCTAGTCTGCCTGCTCCGCCATGGCTCCCCGAGATCCCTGTTCCGCCATGGCTTCCTAGTCTGCCTGCTCCGCCATGGCGCCCCAAATTGCCTGCTCCGCCATGGCGCCCTGAACTGCCTGCTCAGCCATGGTGCCCTGAATTGCCTGCTCCGCCATGGCTCCCCGAGCTCCCTGCTCCGCCATGGCTCCTCGAGCTCCCTGGAGGTATTCCTCATGTACCAGTCCTGCACCAGCCTCCAGGGCGCCCACCTTGTTACGGCGTGGTACGCGCCTTCCAGGAGGGGGGAGTAATGTCAGACTCTGTTCTGTGTCTGTATATGTCTACCCTTGCTATGTGTGTTTTCCTTGTTCCCTGGAAGTTCATTAAAATCTATATGCTTGTATTCCTCTCCTCGCTCCTTCGTCTCCGTGCTCCTCATAGTAGCGAAACATGACAGTAATTGCGACTTTTTTCTCACAATTCTGATATAAAAAAATTACTTGCGAGATATCAGAATTTCACGGCGGACACAAAATAAATGGTAAGATGTAAAGTCAGAATTCAGAGATGGAAAGTCAATATCTCGTAGCTCTGACTTATTTTCTCAGAATTGTTAGAAAAATTCCAAATTGTGAGATAAAAATCTTTTATATTTTTTAATAAGAAATAAAGAAACATTGTGAAACACAATATTACAATTACTAGAAATAAACTAGTTGCAATTGCAACATATCAATTGCAAAATATAAAGTTACATTGCCAAACAGTCGCAATTACAGGATATAAAGTGAAGATATGAGACAGTCGCAATTGCAAAACAGTTACATTGCGAAACACCATGTCACAATTGTGAGCTATAAAGTGACATTATGAGCTATAAGTCACATTGCTAGATATAAAGTCACAATTACTAAAAATAAAAATGCAATTGTGAAATATGCAGTTACATTGCAAAACACAATGTTGCAAGTGTGAGATATAAATTGGCATTATGAGATATAAAGTTGCTATTACTAAGTCACAATTGTGAAATATACCATTACATTGTGAAACAGAAAGTGGCAATTGTGACAAAAAGTGGCAATTGTGAAATATACAATTCCATGTAATTCCAATCTGAGCACAGTTTGAGACACTGAGATCTCTTCTAAAAGAGACATGTGAGATTACTGAGGTCTTGGTCTTTTTTTCTCAGAAGGGTCTAAGAAAGCAGGAGACTTAAAAAGTCTCCATTTGCTCTTTATTCCTGTTGTTGTCTGGGAGAAGCAGCTGAGGTAGTAACAATCTCATTTTGAAAATTATTCTGTTGCACACTCATACCTAAGATATTCACAAATGAGTGTAGTAGTACATATGTCAGTTTTTTCCACTTGTGATGCCCTGAGCATGTCTTGGTAATCAGAGTATTCCCACCATGTTCTGAGAGATCAGTGGAATATAACATCAAAGGAATCGGGAAAATCCACATATAAATTCTCAGCCTACAACACACCACACAACATATTGCATATTGAATGGACAGATCTGCAAAACTCGTAGGGTTGTGGTTTTTAAATCTCTTTATGTGTTAGTTTTCTTATCTGTTATGTTGGTCCTTCTGACCTTATAACACTAGACGTCTTTCGAGGTTTCAGAAACTTCTGTAGTTATCAGTCGCTACATCCGATGCTGTACACTAAAAAAATGCAACTTATTTGTTGAATTTTGAAATATACATGTGAGATAATGTGAGATATAAAATGATACTGCGAGATATAAAGTCGCAATTACTACAAATTCAGTCTCAACTGTGGAATACACATTTACAATGTGAAACTATGCTGAAATTGTAAAATATAACGGGACGTTGCGAGATATCGCAATTATTACTACAAATGAAGTTGCAATTGTGAAATCTAAAGTTGCAATGTGAAACACAAAGTCGTAATTGTGAGATATAAAGTTGGGTAACACTTTCTATGAAGCCCTTTTTTATAACACAATATAAGGGTATTCTTAAGGCATTATGAATGCATAATGCATTATAAAAAACGTAGAAGATGTTGTTTCATCTCTTAAATAATCATAACAACAATTATAATACATTATAAAACTTAATTATTTGTGGTTATAACTTTTATGAGTATGATTATTGATAACATGCAATAAACACCGTTAACTTAAATCCATTTAATTTTTAATGGATTATAAGTCTCATATCTTGACATTATTTATTTAAGATCTCTATCTTACTGATATTACAATAAATATATTTAAAATCAAATGTGCCATGTTACACATTCATCTGACCAGAAATCTGATTTTATGGCTGTTTAAGAAAAAAAGGTTATTGTTATTATTTATAAGTGGTCTTTGTCTGCTTTAAGTAAAGTAACAAGTTACTGTAACAAGTGCAAGACTTATAATACATTATATCTATGGGAAATACAATCCATTGTAAGTTAAGTGGATGCATTGTGTTCATTGTGTATCATAAATCATCATAATCTTAAAAGCAATAATAAGTAAACATTATAATGCATTAAAACTGTTATTATGATTACTCATGAGATGATACAACATATTTCAAGTTTTTTTTAATAATACATTATGCATTCATTATAATGCCTTAAGATTCCTCTTATAATGTATTATAAATACGGGCTTCATAGAAAGTGTTAGCTAAAGTTGCAATTGGGAAATATACAGTTGCGTTGCATAACACAATGTGACATCTAACATGACACTGCAAGACAAAAAGTCGCAAATACTACAAATAAAGTCGCAATTGTGAAGTATACAGTTAGTGTACATTGCGAAACAAAGTCTCAAACGTAAGCTATAAAATGACACGGTGAGATATAAAATCGCAATTATTTCAAATAAAGTAACAATTGTGAAATATAAAGTTTAAACGTGAAACTAAAAGTTGTAATTGTGAGATATAAAGTTGCAGTTATGAAATACAGTTGCATTGCAAAACAACGCCGCAGTTGTGACATATAAAGTGACATTACGAGATAAAAAGTCACAGACACTACAAATAAAGCTGCAATTGTGAAATATAAAATTACAATTGAGAAATATACAGTTACAGTGTAAAACAATGCTGAAACTGTAAGATATAAAGTGACCTTGTTGATAGAAAGTCACAATTATTACTACAAATTAAGTTGCAATTCCGAAATATACAGTGGCAGTCGCAAATGTGCGATATAAAATGGCAATGACATTTTCTTTCTTTCTCAATGTTAGTTGCATGTTAAATACAAGGGTTTTTTGTAAAGAAAATATCTTGTGTACACTCTTAAAAATAAAGGTGCTTCACGATGCCATAGAAGAACCTTTATGTCTAAATGGTTCCATAAAGAACCTTCAACATCTGAAGAACCTTTCTGTTTCACAAAAGCTTCTTTGTGGTTACAAAAGGTTCTTCAGATTATAAAAAGGTAAGAAA